CCCCGGAGTAGGAGAAAGAGGATCGGGCCCTTTCTTACCTCGCAGAATGACGTTGCTGAATTCGTGCGACGGGTTGAAGACCAGGTGCTTGGCCATGGCGTCGCCCTCCGACGTGGCAAAGAGACAAGCAGAACAGGCCAACCGGACCCCACTGGTAAAGAGAACGCAAGAGGCGCAGGGGGGGCGGAGTCAGGGCCTAGAATTCCTCTCCTCCCCCCCAAAAAAAACCACTGGGAGGGGGTTGCCACCCTGGGAAAGGCAGTTGGGACCCTGTGGCTGCACACACACACACACACCCGCCACCCCAGGCCTTGGGGATCCAGTGGAGAAGACCTGGGCAGCAAAAGGAGGGGGGGAACCCCATGGTCGGAGGGATGCGGCCCTTACCAAGCAGTGTAGTTTTTGAACAAGGCCAAGTACTTCGGGCTTTTGCGAGGAACGTGGTTGCTGGGAAGAGAGGCAAGGCAGCCATTGTTACACAACCACAAGGCTTCAACCACTCAGTTACATCGAGCCCCCCCAGTTTCCCCCTTGACGGCAAGAAAAGCTTTGTGCCCCAAAGGGAGAAGGAGCCACGTCCATGGGGCTCCCAAGAGCAAGCAGCCTTTTTCCTTCTGCCCCCTTGGGGGGCAGGAAAAAACCCGGAATCTGATAGGCCAGGAGAGAGGCCCCCAACTTCTCCAGCTTGGCCCGGCACAGGAATGTGTGCGAGTGGCAAGCGCACAACGCTGTCTTTGTACAAGGGACGGGCACATGCACCCTCCACTTGTGTGAATGGAGCTTCGCACACACACATCTCTCCCACAGCCTGGTTTTGAACGGATAGTGGGCCACGGCCTGGGGGTTGGAGACCCCAGGGCCCAGGTGTGAAGAATCTCCCCCACCCTCCCGCCCAAGCTCCTTCGGCTCCCTGCTGCCTTCCAGCCCCAGGCAGACAGAGCCCCTCTGCCCCTGCGGGTGGGGCAGCCTCCCCTGGGGCCACTCACTTGATCATGTGGTTGGCGTAAGCACGGGAGCAGCAGGTGCTGTAACGGCAGAGCGAGCAGTGGACGTAGGTGGGGAAGTGGTTGGGGAAGTCCGGGATTTCGAAGCTGCATTCTAGGCAGGTCTGCCGGCCGAGGACGCTCCTGCAAGAGGGAGGGAGGGTTAAATTAGAGCCTCTGTGTGTGTTTGTGTGTGTGTAAACCCCCCCCCCCCAACAAAGCGACAGCCCAGTGGGGGATGAAATATCGACACAGAGGGGAAAGTCCCTTCAGGTGAGTTTGAAACTTGGGAAGAAGAAGGAGCTCTGACATTTTCCGGACGGCCTTCTTCTGGATGCTCCTCTGGAAGGGCGGGTACGAGAAGTTCGGCTGGGGATCCGGAGACGCCGAGAGCAAGGCCGTGTCCTGCAGGAGGCCCGGGGGCACGTCGTTCGCGCAGAGGGGCAACGTCCGCGGCTGGCCTCGGGAGGCCCTGATGGTCACCTGTGGCCCAAAGGGAGACAGTAAGGATAAATCACATGTTGGAGGGAGAGAGAGAGAGAGACCCCGAGGATGGGGGAGTCCGAAAGATCGGAAGGCTCCGGTTCACCCCCGTAACCGGCCCAGATTGGATCCTGCAACGTTATCCTGGGACACGAATATCTGAGTCAAAATAACCCCACACATCAGTGGTGAAATTCAATTATTTTTTTTTACTACCAGTTCAGTGGGCGTGGCGGCAGGGGAAGGATACTGCAAAATCCCCCTTCCCTCCCCACTCCTGGGGCCAGCCAAGGGTGGCGTTTTCCAATTCTCTACCCAACTACCCAAAATTTCCGCTACCGTTCTCCAGAACCGGCTGGGTTTCACCCCAAGTGCCCCAGATCAGCCCTCCGGTCTTGCTCCCAAAGGAAGGAAAGAAAAGCAGGTGTGGAAATGGGGGGGTCCCTCGCGTTGGCTCCGCCTTGCTAGTTTTCTGCATGCCATCTTCCCACCCACCCCTCTCATTGTGCTCCAATCCGGAAGCGCAGAAGCCCAGACAAGGGCGACTCCCTTCTTCCTCAAGACTGCTGACCTAGGAGGGGGGGGAGAAAGCATCCTGCCCCCCACCCCTGCAAATGTCTCCACCAACCTTGGTGCCCGGCTTCAGCCCTTCCAGCTGCTTGGGCTTCCGGAAGGTTTTGTGGTGCTGCAGCTTATGCTCGATCTTGTCCTTGGCGAAGAGGAACTGCAGGCGGCATTTGTTGCAGTGGTAGACGCTCTTTTTCTGCGAAGGGGGGAGGGGGAGACCCAGCGCTGATTTTTCTGAAGGAGGGTGGGCCCTTCTCTTCCCCCTACTCCCCCCGCCCAGGGAAGAGGAGGAGGGTGGGGGGGGGGGCTCACCTGGTGTCTCATGAAATGCTGCTGGAACGCCGTGCCGTTTTTGAAGACCTTGAGGCAATACGGACAGAGGAGGTGACGGGTGTCCTCATGCACCATCCGGAAGTGGGTGTCCACTTCCGAGTAGAGCGACGAACGGTACTGGCAAACCTGGACGGGGGGGAGGGGGGGAACCATTCTTGTTAAAAGGGGCCAGAGCCTTTCTTTCCAGGGCCGGTCAGGGAAGGTCTCAGGCCTGCAGCCATCTTTTCTTTTGGGCCTCACTTTCTATTCTTCTGCTAGGCATTTTCTATGGTGGGGAAATGGGATTGTACGGAGTTAGATGATATGCAGCCATAACAACATTCCTTTCTAGAAATCCAAGGTCATCCTTTGTCTCTGCACCTGATCGGAACTGGATGGGTGGAAGCTGCCAGCATGGGAGTGGAAGATTGGACCATGGGATGGACTTGTGGGTGTGGGGGAACTTCCAACTGGGTGGGGAAAACCGGGAAGCTTTCAGATTTCGGGTTTCCCCAGATGTGCCAACGTGGCTCTCTCGATAAATTGGAACTTTGGGCAATCCTTTGCCTCGGACTCTGGTTTAATTTTTGGGAACGCTGACACGAAAGCGTTGGCAGTACCTGGCAGACATAGGGCATCTCCCCGGGCTTGTGGGTGTCCTTCATGTGCTGCAGGAACATGGGCTCGCTCTCAAAAGCCCATTCGCAGATCTTGCACTTGGCTGTAACAAGAGGGAGCAGGTCAGAAGGGCCTCCGTTTCAGAGATGCGCAAACTGAGGCTGCCGAGGCTCTCCGTGGGGTGTGTGAAGCCTGGCATTTTAATCTCTCCCCCTTCAGTTTCCCTCTCTAAATCATGCCAAGTGAAAGGCAGCCCCCTGTGGGGGTCATATAGGGAAAAGCCGGAAAGGGTGAAATCTCTTTTTTTTTTTTAAAGGGGATCCTCGGCGTCCCTCTTTCCATCTGCGAAGGCCCCTTTTTGGGGGGAGGGGAGGGAGAGGGGTGTGTGTGCTGACTTACTGGTGGATTCGTACGGACTGTGGACGTTCTCCAAGTGGCACTGGAGCTGGAACGGCGTGGTGAACTGCCGGTAGCAGTGCTGGCAGATGGTGTGGACGTCCACCTCTCCGTTCTGCTGGTCCAGTTCGACGTGGTGCTTCATGTGGTTCATGAACCTGCAGGCAGGGAGGGAGACGGTTGGGTGTGTCTGGCAGGCCACGGGAGAGAGGCGGCAGCCCCTGGATACCACAGCAAGGTGGGGTTGCAAGGGCTGCCCCTAAAACACAGGGACCCGTTCTAAGTCTTTGTTTGGCCAATGGAAGCACACCAACACGCCCCCCCCCC